TTTTTTTTTTTGTTTCTCGTTGGAGGTGGAAAATGCCTAATGCATACCTTAAGGCCGGTCCCTAAGATTATGCCGGACTTGCACCGGCTAAAAACCTCCCCTAGCCTCCACCCCCGGTATGATGTGTATAGTTACCCCCCATTATTGGCTCTCTTTTTTTTTCTATAATTTACAAAATTTCTCGATATACCACATTTTTAGTAAAAAATGTATTTTTTCTTTCAATTAAATGTCCTTGTTTGTTAGTTTCTTCTATTTTTATTTTCACACTTCCTTTTTTTGTTGCTCTAGAAAATGCTACATAGAGTTTTCCATGTGCAAATACTGTATTTCGTAGATATATTCCTACCTTTTTTAATGTTTGTCCTTGGGTTTTATTTATTGTCAGCAAATGCTACACGTATTGGAAACTGTCGCCTTTTAAGCTTAAATGGTAGTTCAATATCACTTGGTATGAAATCTATTCTTGGTAGAAATACAATTTCTCCTCTTGCTGGCCCTGTCATAACCTCCGCATAATATCAAGAATAAAGCTCTCGAAAACAATAATAGATAAAGTCATAAAGGCAAATGAGAGCCGTTTCGCTCGATGGACGGGCGACAATAACAACAAAATTATAAAATTAATGTATATAATATAACGCAAATGTTTCGGTCCTTGGTTTGGACCCTCCTCAGTACATACAGATGGTCATCAGGGTGAATGCAGTGGTCAAAAGGTATAAAGCAGTGGTCACAATAATACAATGCAGTCAACTTCCGCTGTCCGAGATTTTTTGAGAGTATGCATCTCGAATCTCCAATCCGACTGTTACCTTAATTCCGTCAGAAGAAAATTAAATAAATATAAATGGTCAAACATTAAAAATTAAATCGTAAAAGTTACCTGACAGTCGAATTGATCAGAGTTAAGATATCATCTCTTCGCGTATTATTACAACGTTAAAACGTCCTTCTTTAGACGAGCGCAAGAGTTACAATGACGAAATATCATGAGGCATCGGCATAACATTAAATAGAACTGTTGTGAGAAAAGAAATCAACAGTGTGGAAGTCCCTCGATAACAGGCGTGTAATTATTACTAAGTCCCGCCGTGTCCTCCTGTAAGTTAATGCCGTTGTTTTGGCGCTTAATATAAAACATCTCCGAAATGCTTCTCCTTAAGTAAGATCTCTCCCGATCCATAATTAAGACATTGTCCCAATCAAACTCATGCCCCTCCAAACGGTGTTGTGACACAACTAAAAGGTCCCTCGGATTTCTGCTAAGCTGATTACGATGCTCCTTAATACGGGTTCCCAATTGTCTCTTAGTCTGGCCGACGTACGAAGCATCACAATCCTGACAGCAAATTTTATAAACAACTCCGCTCAAGAAGTTATTATGTAGCTTGTCTTTCAAAGGTTTGATAATCCAGCTCAGTTTGTTCAAGCCAACAATTGCAGTGCGCAAATTAAATTTTTTAATTGTATTACAAAAGCTATTAGTGATTTTATTGATGTAAGGAACAACAAAGAAACGATCTTTAACCATGCTGTCAGTAGCGTGAGCATCCATCACGCTTCCCCGCTGTTGCTCATTAATCAATTTGATAATTCTTTTTTTGACAATCTTAAACACGAGTTCAAACGGGTATCCATTAGCTAGCAAAATATCTATCAGCATTCTTATGTTTTTTTGCTGATACCTCGGATGGGACAGCAAGAACGCTCTATCTACCATACCAACGATCGTGCCGATTTTCTGACAATGAGGGTGGTGTGAGAAAAAATTTAAGTATCGTCCCGAAAACGTGGGTTTGTGATACCAGTCAAACTCAATAATACCGTTATTGATTATAACAGTGGTATCTAAAAAATTAATCCTATTAAGTCCTATTTCAACAGTAAATTGCAGTCTACGGTGGAAAGAATTAAACACTTCGAGGACAGTGTTGACTAAGGACCTCGGCATAGACATCAAAATATCATCTATATATCTGAAATAAATCGGCACGACGATAGGCAGGCGCTCGAGCGCCCTGACCTCCAAATCCACCAGCACTAAATCCGCAATCACAGGAGACAATGGGGAACCCATAGGGGAGCCAAAGGTCTGCTTATAAATAACACCATCAAAAATGAAATAGGTGGAATCAAAAACGAATTGAATAGCTGATAAAAATTCATCCAAAGGCAGATCAGTGTTTTGCGAGATAAATTGCCATCTATGTCTAATGCTCGTGATTGCCAAATCCAAAGGAATATTCGTAAACAAGGATACCGCGTCGAGCGATATCAGATCAAAATGGTCGTCAATGAGCATACCTGACAGTTTCTTAACTAAATCGAAGCTATTATTAATGTGGCTGTTAGCTTTGGGAACGCTAGCCTGTATTACGTCCTGCAGGAATCTGGCCAAGGCATGCAAAGGGCTGTTAACAGTCAATACGATCATCCTGAGTGGACAGTCGGCCTTGTGTATCTTTGGCAGGCCGTAAGCTCTAGAAATTACCCCGTCCGTGCAATTAAGAAACCTATACTGTTGATCATTAATATATTCTTTTTTTTTAACCAAGATTGAAGGAGGTTATTTAAATCCTTCGTAATTTTCCGTGTAGGGTCCTTACTTAAAACAGTATAAGTATTCTCGTCACTCAACATCGCATTCATCTTATTTGAATAATCGCTGCCATCTAAAACAACTGTAACATTACCCTTGTCGGCCCTAGTAATCGCTAAGCTATCATTATCCTTGAGCTCCCCCGATGGGTTCCTACCTTGCCGAAGCCTCGGGGCGGGTGTTCGTGGTTCGCGGGACGCGGGGGACGACGGGACCGCTCGGCGGACCCGGTGTTCTCGGGGGCTGCGGGTGGCCGCCCTGGGGCGGGTGGGGGGGCTTAAGGGCGCGCACGGGGATCATCCGCTCAGGGGTGTAGCCGGGCGCGCCCGACCAAAAGGAACCCCCCAAGCCAAGGTGTGAGCAACCGTGCTGATGGCTGCGTGGCGCAGGGGGTGCTGCGTCACTAACGGTGCCTCCCGGAAACCGGGCGACCTCCGGGAAAAACCCCTTCGGGGGCAGCCAAGCCCCGAGCATTCGCGGCTCTGCCCGGGTGAGATCGCGCGACCGCGGTACTCGTGGGAACAAAATGCCAAATAAATTAA